TAAAATGAAGTCCTTGACAACTTCAATCTTTTCTTCGTTTATCATGATGCTGCTTGTTGGTCCTATTGTGAGGATTTTAGTTTTATTTTTCTTGAGGTGAAATCCACACTGAAGACTATAGTCTTTGATCTTTATCAATAAGTGATTCAAGTTAACTTCACTTTCAGTAAGTAAGGTTGTGTCATTTGCATATTGCAGGATGTTAATGACTCTTCCTCTACGATGACACGCTATTCTTTTTTTTTTTTTTAACATGCTATTCTTTATATAGTTCAGCTTCTTGGATTATTTGCTCAGCATACAGATTGAATAAGTATGGTGAAAGGATATGACCCTGACATACACCTTTCCTGATTTTAAACCATGCAGTGTCCCCTTGTTCTGTTTGAAGCACTGCCTCTTGATCTGTGCACATGTTCCACATGAGCATAATTAAGTGTTCTAGAATTCCCATTTTTCACAATGTTATCCATAATTTGTTATGATCCACACAATTGAATGCCTTTGCATAGTCAATAAAACATAAATGGCAAACCTTTTTTTGGTATTCTCTTTCAGCCAAGATCTATCTGATACCATCAATCCAACTTGAATTTCTGGGGGTTTCCTGTCAAAGTACTGCTGCAAATTTTTGAATTACCTTCAGCAAAATTTTGCTTGTGTGTGATGTTAATGACATTGTTAAATAGCATGCTGTTGGATCACCTTTCTTTGGAATGAGCACAAATATGAATCTCTTCCAGTCAGTTGGTCAAGTTTCTTAGCATAGATGAGTGAGCACTTCCACTCTTGCATCAGTTTGTTAAAAGATCTCAATTGGTGTTCTGTCATTTCCTGGAGCCTTGTTCTTGCCAGTTCCTTCAGTGCAGCTTGGACTTCTTCCTTCAATACCATTTAGTTCTTGGTCATATGCTTCCTCCTGAAATGGTTAAATGTTGACCAATTCTTTTTGGTACAGTGACTCTGTTTATTCCTTTAATCTTTTTATACTTGGTGCCTCATTCAATAGTTTCCCCATAAAACCCTTCAGTATTGCAACTTAAGGTTTGAATTTTTTCTTCAGTTTGTTCAGTTTACAGAATGCTTAGCATGCTCTCCTTTTTGATTTTCTAACTCCTGGTCATTGCACATTTCATTATAATACATTACTTTGTCTTCTTTATCTGCCCTTTGAAATGTCTGTTCAGCTCTTTTACTTCATCATCTCTTCCATTTGCTTTAAGTACTCTACATTCAAGAGAAGTTTCAGAGTCTCTTCTGAAATTCATTTGTTCTTTTCTGTCCTTTTAATAACTTTTGCTTTCTTCATGTATGTGATACCCTTGATGTCATCCCATAACTTGCCTGGTCTTTGGTTATCCATGTTCAATGCATCAAATCTATTTGAGGTAGTTTCTAAATTCAGGTGAGATATACACAAGATCGTAGTTTGGCTTTTGTGGAGTTGTTTACATTTTTTTCAATTTCAACTTGAACTTGCATGGAAGCAATTGTTGGTCTGTTTTGCAGTTAGCCCCAGACCTTGTTCTGACTGATGATATTGAGCTTTTTAATTGTCTCTTTCCTCATAGTAGTTGATTTGATTCCTATGTATTCCATGTGGTGAGATCCACAGGTATAGTTGCCATTTGCATTGTTAAGAAGTGGTATTTGCAATGAATAAGTCAATGGTCTTGCAAAATTCTATCTTGTGATCTCTGGTGTCATTTCTCTCACCAAGGCCATATTTTCCAACTACTGATGCTGCTTCTCTTGTTTCCAACTTTCTCATTCCAATCACCAATAATTATCAAAGCATCTTGAGTGCATGTTTGATCAATTTCACACTGCAGAAGTTGGTAAAAATCTTCAATTTTCCCATCTTTGGCTTTAGTGATTGGTACATAAATTTTAATAATAGGGAGCTATGGTGGCATAATGCCTAAGGCATTTGATTGCTAAACAGAAGGTTGGTAGTTCAAACCCACAAGCCACTCCTCAGAAGAAAGATTGAGCAATCTACTTCCATAGTGATACTGCCTCGAAAACCTAAGGAGGGGTTGTGCTATGAGTCGAAATTGACTTGATGGCAGTGAGTTTGGCTGTTTTTGGTTTTAAGTATTAACTAGTCTTCCTTATAGGTATATGAACATTATCCCATCACTGACATTGTTGTACTTCAGAATAGCTTGAAATATTCTTTTTGACAATAAATGTGATGCCATTCCTCTTCAGTTTGTCATTTGTCATAGTAGACCATATTATTGTCTGATTCAAAATGGCCAATACTAGTCCATTTCAGCTCACCAATGCCTGGGATACCAGTCTTCGTGTGATCCATTTCACTCTTGACAACTTCCAGTTTTCCAAGGTTCATGCTTTTTACATTCCAGTTGTTAGTGGATGTTTGCAGCTGTTGCTTCTCATTTTGAGTTGTACTACAGCAACCAAGGCAGGTCTCAAAGGCTTTACTGCATTCATATCATTATGGTTGACTCCACAGTGAGGAGTCAGCTCTCCGCTAGTATTTTGGTGTGCCTTCCAACCAGAGGGGCTCATGTTCCTGCACTGTATCAGACATTGTTCTTTTGGTATTTATAAGGTTTTCACTGGCCAATTTCTTTTTTAGAAATAGATTTCCACATCCTCTTTCTCAGTTTCTCTTAACCTGGAAGCTCTACTGAAACCCGTTAACTATGGGTGACCCTGCTAGTAAATGAAACAGCAGTGCCATAGCTTCAGTATCATAGCAATATGCAAACTACCGCAATATGACAAACTGACAGATGAGTTTTGGGCTTTTCTATAATGGGCCAGATAATAACTATTTTAGGTTTTGTGAACCACAAATCATCTGTCACATACTCTTCTTTGTTGGTTTTCACAATTCTTTATACATGAACCAGTCATTTTTGGCCATACATAAACCATATTTGTGGGGATGAGATAGTAAGGGGAAGGAGGGATGTGGCTTAATGACCCCTGGGTCCTCCTTCCTCTGCCACATAAGAGCTGGCTAACCTTTGCAAAGTTATTCCCTCTGCTTTTGTGTTCTCATCTGTAAACCTGGGATAATATTACTAGTTCTTACCATTCGACCTCTTAGGAACATTTAGCAAGCTAAGGCAAAAGGCATTTAGAACAATTATTGTTAAATATTGTTGTTATTAATTGCTGTCCAGTTGACCCTTAATTCATAGTGACCCAATCATAGTGGAATGAAATGCTGCCCAGGCCTATGGCATCCCCATGATCAGCTGAGAATTAAACCATTGTGATCCATAGGATTTTCTTGGCTAATTTTCAGAAGTAGATCAGCAGGCTTTTCTTCCTAGTCTATTTTAGCCTGCAAGTTCCACTAAAACCTGTTGAGCATTGTAGGAATGTATAGACCTCCAGTGATGGATGCATGAGATGCATTAGCAGAGACTCAAACCTGTCTTCCTCATTGAGGGCGAAAATTCTTCTGAACCACCACTGCTTTCACCTAAAACGCAGCTAGTATTTATTTATCATGTATTATTTATAGTTATTAGTAGTATTACCAACTATTCATTACTTTGTTGATAGGTGGTGGCAGACAATGAGTGAGGGCAACAATTACGGATCTACTGTACAGAAGTTGCTGGAAGCTAATTGCTCAAGATTTCTGTTGTTTCTTCCTGGGCTATTAAGAAAGGAATGTATGCACTGAAATGTATGCAGACTGTGAAGTACACCTGGGTTAGTCCCCTATAGGAGATCATTGCTCAGCTATTCTTCTGCCATATTTGGAAGATGATACCACTTGTAAGGTGGCTTGTCCTAGGGCTCAGGGCTCTCCTGAAGGATGAGATGCCATTTCTGTAGCCCATTTGCAACTTATGCTAGTGTCCCACTTTTTGGGAAGTTGTGATTTAGGACCTTGGCCAATTCTGTACTGGTGTAAGAGTCTGGCCACCTCTTTTGATACTATGCCATCTAAGTTCTCTTTTTGCCCAGAGTGGGAGTGAAAGTAAGAACCATAGAGAAGCCAATTGCCACATGCTTCATGTTTCCTGTGTTACAGTGAGAAGTGAGCAGGAAAGTGCAGCTTTAACCTGCTGATGGAACCGAAAAGACTTACTGAGTTATTGTTAGTTGCTTTCAGTTGGCTCTGACTCAGGTGACCTTAAGTATAACAATGAAACATTACCTGGTCATGTGCCATCTTCATGATTGTTAGTGTGTCTGAGTACATTATTGTGGCTATTGCATCAATCTTTCTTATGGAGGTTTTCCCTCATTTTCGCTAACCCTCTACCAACCATTGTGTCCTTTGCTAGTGATTGGTGTTTCCTGAGGATATGTTCAAAGTAAGCAAGCTGAAGTCTCACCATCCTTGCTTCTAAGTGATTGAAAACCCTATGTACCCCTCACTGGATGCCTTTGGCGTATTTGTCTGGTGGTGCATAGACCACCTGCAGCCCTGTGAAATTCAGCTTCTCTCTGAAATAATGCAAACCTGCCATACCTAGGTAATATGGGGGCTCTTCTCCCTTCTTCAGCTTACCACTTCTAAGAGAGCATTACTTTTCTGCTTCCTTCTCCAGGTGCAGATGCCTATTCTTGCCAGAAGCACAGAATAATGACTCTGTAAGCTCAAATTACAGATACTCAAAGTGCCTGATGGTGATCCAACTCCACCCTGCACTTGAGTTTTTGCTGACATTCAGTAAAAACTCTTCCATCTCCTTTCACCTTGCAAAACAAGCTTCCTGTTTTGAATTTGGTCCAGACTGGAACAGCCCTGTTACACCTGTTAATACACTCAAACATGTATTTCCCCCAGTGTTTTCACAGCTTCTTGCCACCTAGCCAGATTTCCCTTCTCAGCTTATAGATCCTGAATCATAACATGAAATTTTAAATCAGCTAATTTTTTTTTTTTTTAAAGGAAGTTCACATTTTAGAGCATTTGAATGAAAACATGGCTTTCTGGTTTACTGCACTGTGTTTTTGTTTTTTCTCATGACCACTTTGCTAATTTTTCTCCTCCTTCACAGGACAATGGAACTGAGGAAAGGGCATCAGCTGACGCAAGAGCCTGAGTGAAACTGACGGACTGCAATCAAGGGCAGCCTACACCATGAATTTGTGTCTACCTTCTGTGCTTTAAGAGCTGAGGGCCAGTGAAGTTGCTAGAGAGCAATGGCTGTCTTTACTCCGTGGAAATTGTCCTCTCAGAAGCTGGGGTTTTTCCTAGTGACTTTTGGTTTCATTTGGGGTATGATGCTCCTGCATTTTACCATCCAGCAGCGAACTCAGCCTGAAAGCAGCTCCATGCTGTGTGAGCAGATCCTGGACCTTAGCAAGAGGTACATCAAGGCACTGGCAGATGAAAACAGGAACGTGGTAGATGGACCATATGCTGGTGTCATGACAGCTTATGGTAAGCACTGTGCCACTAGGCCTCTCCAGAGAGGGGCATGGGTTGCTTTGATAGTACCCCAGAGGCTTCTAGGGCTTGGTTTTGTCACAGATCAAGTGTGTGCCTGGCCACTGACCTCATGGGTGTTTCTTAATGAATTGGGCACAGAGGTGCATTTCTAGAAAACTAATGGAATACCTTGTTGGTGCTGCTGAGCTCTTGCATGTATGGACAGCTTGCCCTGAGAGCAGTAGGTCAATACAGGGAGCTCTATCAGGTGTTCCTCTATCAGCTCTTCCTCCTTCATCACATTTCTGGACTGCATGGTCTAATCTAGGAGTGTGTTCAGGGAATGCAGAAAAATATTTTAATTATCTTTCGCTAAACAAAATGTAGCTAAGCCTGGTGGGGATGAGGTAGGGAGGGATAAAGAAGAATGTTCCTGGATCCCCAGGAACCCCAAGCCAAACATGTGCCTCCTCTAGGCAGTGTTTAGGACTTGCAGACGCATATATACTGCCCAATAGCTTTGACTTTTTGCTTCTGCAGATTTTACTGCTCTTATTTTGTTCCCTTATCTCTAACATCCCTCACTCTAGGAAAAAAAAAAATCTTTTTGTACTCACTGCTTTTTTATTAGGCGTCTCAAACCCTTTTGTCAAATGAGGTAGGGGAAAAATTAACATGTAGAATATAACTTACTTTTGGTAATAGAATCTTTAAGCTTATTTGATATAGAAAAAGAACATGATATATAAATCTACCATTCCAGGAAATAGGGAGCGCTGGTGGCATAGTGCCTAAGGCATTTGACTGCTAACCAGAGGGCTAGAGATTTAAACCCACCAGCCACTCCTTGGAAGGAAGGTTGGGCAATCTACTTCCGTAGTGATACTGCCTCGGAAACCCAAGGAGGGGTTGTTATGAGTTGGATCCAACTGGACGGCAGTGAGTTTTTTATGTATGTATTTGTTTATTTTAGGCAAAAATGGTTACTTTTAAGGAAGAATGTGAAATTCCTTTTTAATGTTTATTATTTGCATCATTTCACTATCTGCTTTTATTTTATTCCTTCAAGATTTGCCACTCTCTGTAGGCATTGGCTTTTAATATGTCTAAGTAAAATACCACTCTTTTTGATCTGACAGAATGAAAAAATGAGACTCCATTTTCAGAGCCCATATTGAAAACCAGCTAGGTGGCTTTTCAGAGGATGCATTTTTAATTAGATCTTCTGTACTATCTCCAGAGGGTAGTTTCACCACCAGGAAGAAAACAAAAAGCAAATTGCCATCCTTGTTGTTACCAGTGTGTATGATGTAACAAGTAACATGTTGTTTTAAAGTTTCTGTTTTCAGGTACCCATGTGGTACATGGGGGTGGGAATAGGGTTGGGGGTAAGCGTAGGAGACTAATCCAGTAGTAGTTTCCTTCTTCTGTTTATCTCAGTCTATCATATATCTTCTGTGGGAAGGAAGAAGATATGGTAAATTTATAGACTTTCGATTTCTCTGGTTATTTTGGCTGATTTTATTTATTAGGTTCTCCAGAAAAATCTCATGGAGTGGGCTGTCCTCCACATTCTAAAGGGCAGTGATCTTTTAGCTTTCTAGCTTTTCAAAGACATTTTAAAAAGTTATCAGAAGCTTCCAGAGTAGTCTGCAAGAATGTCCACCACCTTATATGCTTAGATAGAATCCTGATGGTGTAGTGGTTTAAGTGGTCAGCTGCCAACCAAAAGGGCAGTGGTTAGAACCCACCAGCCATTCCATGGGAGAAATATGAGGCAGTCAGCTTCTGTAAAGATTTACAGCTTAGAAAACCCTATGAAGCAGTTCTAAAATGTCCTAAAGGATCATTGTGAGTCAGAACTGACTTGATGGCAGCAGGTTTGGTTTTTTAGGTATATGCTGAGAATCACAGAACACAGTTTAAAGATTATCTCAGGGCAGTAGTTTCAGGGGGTTCACCCAAACTTCATGACTACAGGAAGTCTAGAGTCCATGAGAATTTGAAATCCTCTTCTGCACTTTCCCCCTTTTGATCAGGATTCTTCTATAGTATCGTTGATCAAAATGTTAGATATGAGTAGCCAGTCATCATCCAATTCTTCCAGTCTTATGTTAAAGGCAACAGCTGTTCATGGAGGCAATTAGCACATTCCGTATCTTCCTTCTGATGCTGAATCTCCTTCTTCTCTTGCACCAGATGAATAATAGTCACCAATTGTTGAGTCTTGGATGGACCTTTCCAAGCTTTTAAGACCTAGTCACCATGCAACAAACTAGGAGGTAGAACATAGGCACTAAACATGTTATTAGGCTCATTAACTGGGATTCCCATGTAACTAAGACCTTAAACCTCCAAACCAGAAAACAAAATCCCATGAGCAGTCTCAGAAGCTACTCTTTTTGTTGTTGTTGTTGTTGTAAATATATCTATTACACACCTTTTGCAAATTCAGCTTTTTATAGGTCTACAACTTATTGACAGCAACTACAGTCAGAGGCTCTGCAACCTTATGCTTAATTAATGTGTATATTGATCACTGTTAGCACTCCCTTTCCCCCTTCCTCCTGTCTCTGGTAACCACTAATAAACTTTGTTCTCTCTACATTTGTCATTTCTTTTTATATAAATGAGGTCATATAATATTGGTCCTTTTGTGATTGACTTCACTTAGCATAATGTCTTCCAGCTCCATCCATATTGTAGCATGTATTAGGACTTCATTGCTCCTACTAGCTGAGTAGTAGTACCATTACATGTATGTATCACATTTTGTTTATCCATTCATCTCTTGAATAAACATTTAGTTGGTTCTGCCTTTTGGCCATTGTGAATAGTGCTGCAATGAACATTGGTGTACAAGTCTTTGAGTCTGTTGAGTCTGTGCTTTCAAGTCTTTTGGGTATACACCTAGGAGCAGAATTGCTGGGTCATATGTTCTGTTTTTATCTTTTGAGAAACCGCCACACTGTTTTGCACAATGGCTGTATCATTTGCATTTTTAGCAGAAATGAATAAGGGTTCCAGTTACCCCATATCCTCGTCAACATTTGTTATTTTCTGTTTTTCTTTTTATCTTAGCCATTCTAGTGGGAATGATATGGTGTCTTATTGTGGTTTTGATTTGCATCTCTCTGATGGCTAATGATGTTGAGCATCGTTTCATGTCTTTGGTGGTCATCTCAGTGTTCTCTTTGGTAAAAAAGTCTATTCAAGTCCTTTGTATATTTTCTGATTGGGTTATTTGTCTTTTTGTTATTAATTTGTCAAAGTTTTATATGTATTTTGGTTACTGGATTTTTGTCAGATATGTGGTTCCTAAAGATACTCTCTGAGTCTGTAGCTTGTTTTTTCTTTTTTGGTAAAGCCTTTTGATGAACAAAACTTTAAAATTTTTATGGGATTCCATTTATTTATTTTGTCTTTTGCTGTTTGGAGGGCTGGGACTTTTGTGGGGTGCTGTGGGAAACCACCATCACTGAAACAGAAATTCCCTGCCCTTGAGGGAAATACACTGTTCTTGGCCTGACAGTGAAATTCACAGAGAAAAAGTAGCTAGATTGTTTGATGTGTTTAATGAGACTGTGGTTACTTTACGGTGACGTGGCTGGTATGACTAAATAAGTGATTTTCTGCTTTGAAAAACTTTGTGCCTAAAAACAGGCCTCTGAAGGACTTGGGGTGTTTCCAGCGTTCCTGTGGTGGAAGTACAGCCTCACCCTGCCTCCAGAACCAGGCGAGCTTGCAGGGATATACAGCCTGTCTGGGGTCAGGAAGCTCTGAGGAGGAACTCAGGAGTTTTTTAGACCAGAGGAGGAATATCAGAATGTGGATTGTCAGGGAGAATTGGAGCTTATTCTTAAATTCCCCTTGTCATCAAGATCAGTCTTTTCATGCCATTCTATTCCTTAGGCACTAATAGAGCCTTCCTGGTTGACAGGGAGGAATGCCCAAGTGAGAGGTTTGGCTCACAGGCTCAGAATATTTCAGTCCCTGAAGTAGGGTTCCTTGCCTTGCTTGATGACCAGACCCACATAAAGCCTCTTCTCCTCTACCTAGCTGCTTCATGGTGCTCTTTTTCTGTGAGAACTGCGACCACTCTAAGGGGCTCTCACACTTCTCATGTCTGCCTTGTACCACAGCTGTCTTCCAGAGAGAGGCTTTTGCATGTTGGTGAGTCATTTTTTCATCTCTGACTCTCTGCATTTGTTTTTCCATGTGCCTCCAGATAGCAAAGATCTCACTTCCATTTGTCACTTCCTGTCACCCTTTCAAGGATATCTGATGGTGCTGTGTTTAGGGTGTTGAGCTGCTAACCAGAAGGTCAGCACTTTGAACCCACCTGAGAGCTGTTCTGCAGGAGGAAGATGAAGCAGTCTGCTTCTGTAAAGACTTAAGCCTTGGAAACCCTATGGGGAAAGCTATGTGTTGGAAGTTGGAAGCTTCTTCTCAAAGAATTGGCCCGGGAAAACCTTACGAATAGCAGAGAAACACTGGCTGATACATTACTGGGCAACTTTATGAATAGCCTGGAAATATTGTCCAATACAGTGCAGGAAGATGAGCACTTTAGGTTGGAAGGCACTCAAAATACAACTGGGAAAGACTGCATCATCAGAGTAGAAACAACCTTAACGATATGGATGAAATAAAGTGTTCGGTACCTCCATTTGCTGACGTGGCATGACTCAAGTGAGGAGAAACAGCTGCAAATATCCATTAATAATTGAAACATGTAATGTACAAAGTATGAATGTAGGAAAATTGGAAGTTGTCAAAAATGAAATGGAATGCATGAAGATTGATATCCTAGGCATTAGTGAGCTGAAATGGGCTGGTTTTGGCCATTTTGAATCAGACAACCATATGGTCTACTATGCTGGGAATGACAATTTGAAGAGGAATGGAGGAGTGGCATTCATCATCACAAAGGATGTTTCAAGATCTGTTCTGAAGTACAATGCTGTCAGTGATAGGATAATAACCATATGACTGCAATGAAAACCAGTTAA